GTGGAATGACCTTCCTCCAGCGGTTGTCCACGCTCCTTCTAGAACCCAGTTTAAAGCACTATTCGACTTTTATTTATGCGAATCCTCGCGCTGGCAAGCATACTGCCCCGCGCTGAGAACATAAAGAGCAGTGCTAAAAACTTTTTTCAATTGTGCCTTTCAGGTGAACGACAACCACTGACCGACAAGAAGAAAACCGACCCGGGAAACTTGGGCAAAGCCTCGATCCCCTGCGTATCAATCCGTGAATCCATGAATCGGTGAAATGGCCCTTTCCCGTACACGGTAATCAAGTTGTCTACTCAGGACGCAATAAAGATGTGATCCTCATCAACAGTGTCCGACGAATTTCTACGGAAACGGTTGCTGGGCCTTAATCTGTGGACTACAAAAAGCACCCCGTGGTGCTAGACTTCATTCCCTGGAGTATCGTCGCCTCCTATGGGAACCAGTACTTAATTATCCCTTGTTTGAACAAGGTATCGTCGATGGGGTTTTCGCCGTTGAACGAACTAATACACAGCGGGGAAATGGTGCATCATTTTATAGGAGAATAATATTCTTATTTCGGATAGTTGGTGCATGAAATAACTTTTATCCGGCAGTTGTTGACGCTGCATTCAATACACAGTAAAAACACTTTGATGCATTTGGATATGCTTCCTTACGCCGGCAAGCATACTGTTCCGAATTGAGAGCCTAGCGAGCAATGCTACCCCGTTTTTTTGCTTGCGCCTTTTAGGTGAACGGAAGCCGTTTAATGACAACCGACCCGGGAAGCTTGGCGAGATCTTCCATCCTCTTGTATCAGCTCGTGAATCCATGAGCTCCGTGATTGGCTGGAATTCTGGCCACTCAGCGCACGCCTTCGTATGATCACTCATCGGTCCAGCTGGTTGTGCGCGTTTCAAGTAGGCCCGTCCCCTTTGGAGGAGGGGGCTAAGTGATTTTATGCTTTTCATGTTGATCGATCATCGTGGAACTCAAATTCGTGAGATTCAAGCTTGATTTCTTCCTGTCCATGTTGAATTTCAATTATGGATTCATACACCGTGTTGCGTATGAATCCGAATACGCTCTAAACACCGCCAACCGTCACGAAGGGACTAGAGCTTACCGTGGGATGACGTTTTGGCCACCTCAGCGAGCAGACACACAGAGCCTCTCATATCAGGTTGGTCAATGGCTAAAGGTCTCCTGGCCCTCCATGTTGGGGGTCAAAACATATGGC